TGGGAGATGGACCCAGGAGGAGCGTCCCCCACACTCAGCCCAGAGGTTTCTGCTTCACTGCGCCGTGTGGCCCGGGAGGGACTGACTCTTTTCTTACCACCGTTGGAGAGAACCTGCACATCTCGGGGTTCTTTTTTTTTTAACCACTGTTCCTTTTACCACCACGGTGCTGTGGTGAGGGTCTCCTGGGCTGGGGCCGGAGCAGGCGGGATCCACTGCTGAGGAAAAGGGGGAACCTCCCGGATCCAGGGGCCAGTGGCCAAGCTGCCTGCACCCACATTTGAGCTTAGCTGAGCATCAGAGGGAGCCCACCAGCAGTACTCGGTTCTTGTTTGTGTTTCGTGACCCTCTTGCCAAAAAAGTTTAAGGGTGGGACGGTGTGGGCCATGGCAGAATCAATGTCACTGGAGACGGACTGGAAAAGGGGAGTTCCAACCCCCCATTAGTGCAGCTGGGGAGCTGAGCCCCATGTTTCCCTCTGAAGAGCTCCACTCAAACACAGCCCAGCTCACACATCCGGAATTTATCCTTGGAAATTATTCCTCTGCAGAGGGGCTGGAGAGCTGGGTCTGCTCCTGGCCAGTCTGCACACAGCAACTAACGATGACCGGGAGCCCGTCAGGCCCCCGTAGAGTTTTCCCTTGAGTTCTGGGGTAATTGAATCTGGGCTTTTACGTCAGCTCATCAATAGAGATGAGATCCAGCCCCAGTGCCTGATTTTTATCTCCTTCACGCTCCCTCCAGGCGGGCACGAGCCCCGTCCCCTCCGGAGGGTCGCTGAGCTGAGGAGCTCGGAGTCATTTGGAGAAATCACAGTCTGGGTTCCTCACCAGGAACTGCCTGTTTGGCTGAGACTCTAATCTTGTAGAAATCCACGTCCAGGAGTCGTTTTGAATATAAAATGTGTTGTTGGCTGTGAAGTAGCCAAAGCCTGGCCATGAAGTAGCCAAAGCCTGGCTGTGACGTAGACAAAGCTCCATGACCAGGAGTCGTTTTGAATATAAAATGTGTTGTTGGCCGTGAAGTAGCCAAAGCCTGGCCGTGAAGTAGCCAAAGCCTGGCCATGTCTGAGCAGGAGCAGAGGTGACACCCTGGGCTCGGGGAGCAAGGTGCCCACTTGAACCCTGCTGCGTGTGCTTGCAGGTGCCGGTGACGTTTGACGACGTGTCCGTCTACTTCAACAACAAGGAGTGGGAGAAGCTGGAGGAGTGGCAGAAGGAGCTCTACAAGAACGTGATGAAGGGCAACTACGAGTCGCTGATCTCCCTGGGTAAATATGGGGTGTCCTCGCCCTGGCAAAGGCAGGTTCTCCAGGGCCTCTGCCCGCAGGCTTGGGCACCTTCTGACCCCTCCTCAGAGATCCCCTTGGATCCACCTTGAGATCGAAGGATCCTGTTTTCCAAGGAGACTTTAAACCCCCAGGAGGATGTTTCTAGTCTGGGTAGGGGCATCCCTGTGGCAGTGCCCGGGTTCACTCCCAGCTGGAGGCACGGTGCTGTCCCTGCTGGGTGGGGGCTGCCAGGGCGGGTGGGCTGGAGACCTCCCAAGGCCCCTTCCAGCCAGAGTAGCTCAGTGACAAACTAGCACCTTCCCCTTGGCTGTTGGAAGGGCTTCCCTTCATCTCCTGGCTCTGCAGCAGGTACCAGCCCACGCAGCCCTTCAGAGGAGCCTTGTGGAGGGAAGAGTTGTCTGATGTGGCCTCGCTGTGCTCCTTTGGGGCATTCCCTGCTGAAGCTGCAGGAGCAATCCTGGCTCTGCTGGGGCCACAGGCGAACTGCTTTTGGCTTCAGGAGAGACAGGAGTTTGCCTGAGAAGTTCTGAAACCCCAGGAGAAAACCACACACGTTTGGTTTCATCTCAGTGATAGTTCCTCTGTGCGTGGCACCTCAGCTCCAGCCTCCATGAGTCCCTTCTGCCCACCCGGGGAGCCCAGCCTGCCTGCAGCACTGGGTTTTCTGCCTGCAGAACCTTTGTGGATCTTCCTGGGAAGTTCTTGAGCATCTTCTCATGTTCCCCTTGGTGCTGTGGAGAGGTGGAAGCCGCCGTTGAGTTTCCCTGTGCAGTAATCCTCTTTCCATCCCTCTCTCTCTGAACAGACTATGCAATTTCCAAGCCCGGTGTTCTGTCTCAGATTGAGCAAGGAGAGGAATCGCAGGCCAGGAACGAGCAGGACTTGGAGGAGAGTGAGATCATCACGGATGCCACGGCAGGTGAGCCGGCAGCTTGGCGCCAGGGGGGCCGTGGGTTGTGTTCAGAGGAGCTGGGCACCCCAAGGTGCCAAGTGAAGCAGAGCCTGTGGGGAGCCGTGCCCGAGGAGCTTATCCAGGGCAGCCTTGCCAGTTTGGCTGGTGAGAGCTTTGATGTCCAGGCACAGCTCAACCTGGGCAAGCAGAGCCCTGAGAGCTGGGTGCTGGTTGCCATCAGTGGGGGAGGGACCTGCAGCCAGACCAGGTCCTCAGGGAGCCGGGGTGCCCGGCGCAGAAGGAGAATTGTGTCCCATTGGGAAAACCTGGCCATCCAAAAAGTCCTGTCCTCCCCCCGGGTTGTGTGGCTGGCACCTGGGCTTGTGCCTGGAGCATCCCCCGGGCAGGGCAGCCTGCTCCCATCCTGCACACAGCACCCGGGGTGCTGAGGGCTTTCTCCAAGGGCAGAGGGCTGGGAGTGGGACACGAGCGACCCTGAGTCCCAGAGCAACTCCTGATCAGAGGCAAGGGGGCTGATAAGGAGGTGTCCTAGAAGAGATGGTGTCAGCTCTGCTGCTGGGCTCTGGCCCCACGCCAGAGAGGATCTTGAAGTGAAGTCGAGGTCATTGGGAAGAGGCAAATCTTGTGCTGCCCGCAGGGAGCTGCTGGCCCAGCGCTGCGGCTGGGCACGGGGGTGGCACAGGGGGGGCACAGGGGTGGCACAGGGGTGCTGAGCTGCCCACG